AAAGAAAGAAAGAAAGAAAGAAAGAAAGAAAGACTGCAAATAAAAAAGGGTTAGTTTAGGTTTTACCTGCAAGTCTGTAAAAAAAAGAAAGAAATATGAAAACTGAATAAAAAAAGAACATACAAAAAAAATCAAATTACAAAAAAAGAGGGAAAGAAAGAAAAAGGTCAGAAAGAAAGAAAAATCTAGGATTGGCAGGGTACAACAGATCTCTGTGGAGCAGAAGGGTCCCAGCCTTTACATTTACTTTATTTCCTCTGATATTTGACACAAATTGTTGCTTCATTATTTTCTTCAGCAAATAATGATCTTTTGATCTTCACACAGTTTGAGATCAGAAAAACAGCACTTTTTCTTTAGTGAGACTTAAGCCCTATATGGAAAAGAGCTGTGTTTCCCATTCAGCTGCATTAAAGCTTTATTCACGAGAAACTGACAAGATCCTCCACTGAAGCGAGCAAAAGAGATCAAACCAGCATCACTGAAGTAGCTCATTCTCACGTGAGGATCCGTGTCCTGTAACAGCTGCATGACGCACTAATAAAGAAAGCTGACAGAGTCCAGCCAGTGTCAGATTGCAGTAATTGTTCATTCTTGGAAAGTAAACAACTACTTTGTATTGTTCACTACATGCTTGAAATAAGACATATTATACTTTGACATCCTCACAGCGCCAAAAACCGATTTGGAATTAGACCCACATGACAAAAAATAACACAATAAGAGGATGCAAGCTTTAAAAGTATTTTAATACAGAAAAGAGAGGAGAATTGAGTTCATACATATAATACAGCAGTATTCTCCTCAAAATGAATGCAACGCCCAGTGTTTTCCGTCTTGGCAACCGCTTTGATTAATCATTTGTTTTTGTGGGCTCCAGAAAACTGTTCAATGTCATAACATATTACTGTTTTAACATATTATAACTGCAGCCCATAATTAATGTAGATAAAGTGTGTACTAATGTTTGGCAAGGGAATAAAGGAAGGGTTTATGTAACTGAAGAAGTTACATAAGTAATAATTATATAAATCAAATCTACGCCTAATAATTTAAACAAACAAACAAACAAACAAAAAGACCTCGAAATAGAGCATTTTCTTTCACATCTGCATATTTACAAATTTCATAATGTAATTCACGTCACAAAGCAACCCGAAAATATTCATTTTAAAATATGATAACATTAATAGCATCTCTGCTACAATTATTAAGAGGGAAAAAGTGTAACAGATATTAAGGGGAAATTGTCCAAATGCAGAATAAATTAAAAGAAATCCACAGCTGTGGTTCATCTCCATGTGTCTGCTCTGCATCAGAAAAAAATTAATTTAATATGTCGTATGGTCAGAACTGACATATAGATTTCTATCAACTGTTGTTTATTTATACATTTGACATTTTTTCTAGTTT